AACCTTGAGCCTGGTGAGATTCGAACTTACAGAAGTTGCAGACAGCTGGTGTTAATCACAATGCTTTTAGTCTGCTGAGCCACCAGGCCCAGAAAAATTTATATTTTAGTCTGCTGAGCCACCAGAAAAATTTATATTTTTCAAACTGGATTTTTTCCCAAAGTAGCTTCATGTTCTTACATGACTTTTCCAAGTTAGATGTTAGAGCTATTTGTATGAATGGTAATTTATTTTCATTGAAGATAGTTTTTGAGGAATCAATGAACAAGTGTCACTCGCATTGTGTTCATAGCCGAGAGCCTCCATAAGTGAACAAACATCTTCACAAAACTCTATTATAGAGTTTTATATTCTATTATATACCCATGATGGTGAACCTATGGCACGTGTGCCAGAGGTGGCACACAGAGCCCTCTGTGGGCACGCGCACCGTCAGCTGCTCTTCTGGTTTCCGGCATGCACATGCACGCTAGCCAGCTGGTTTTTGCAGGTCTGAGCGCCAGAAAATGGCCCAAAAAACGGCCTGAAAATGGCCAAAAAACAGGCACGCACATGCCTGCCAGCTGGTCTTCAGATTTCCAGTGCTCCAATATGTGTGAAGACCAGCTGGCCAGGGAGCATGTGCATGCCGGACCAGCTGGGCGGTGCGCGCATGCACACATGTTCTGGTTTGGACACTTGGTGCTGAAAAGGTTCACCATCACTGTTATAGACCATCTACTTGGAAGAATTTGTTAAATTCATCACACAGCTATGTGTGTGTGTGTGTGGGGAAATTAAATATCATGGAAGAGAAGATCTAGCCTTTTAATCTCAAAACTAAAAGTTCAGCTTACAACATAAGTTCAAATCGTGAAAAGATCATTCAGATCCTCTTATGTCAACAAATGGGACTCATATGAAGAGCAACAATTTAAAATATTGGGTGAGAATTAATGTTTTCCTTTTTCCGCTCTGAATAGGCATAGGCATTATCACCACCACTAAATTAATTGCAACTAAACACTTCGTTTTTTCTGGAGGTTTTGGTACAGGCACCTCCTTAGGATATGGAACTGGCCTTATTGTAGATGATAAATGAGGATAAATCAATTCTTCCATGCCGTAGAAATGGCAAACGGCATATAGTATAAATCTAACACTTCACCCAGCAAATGTTGATGGCCCAATTCTCTGTGTCACCTGTCTTACAATCAAAATAAAGTTTATAGCATCTTTTAACAAGTGGGGTGAAGTTTCCTTTCTGGGACCTAAATGTTTACTCACCACAAACACAATAAAAGGTATCAGAATTTACACAATCTTCTGGCATGGCAATAGTATATAGGTAAACACAACACTATTACAATCAGTTTAATATTAATTTGAATACAGAGACTATATAGTTAAACTGTTTATATTGTATGTTCTGGCCCCAGACCAATAAGGAACTGCTTTCCAGGAAGAGACTGGGCTCATGTTTGACATGTTCGACATGTTCAAACATGATTCAACCTGCAGTCTGCTGTCCTGTGGTAGTTATCATGTGTTCTTTCTTTGTCTTGGGATTATTTGTACTAGAGAACAATAATAACAACTTGATTTTGTTCAATAACTATTACAAATATGCTACTATAGTTAAAATATAGTACCATGATATTAAGTGAACAGATGGGATCACAAATAATCTTTTTCAAAAAAACCTGAATTTATTTTGAAATTCAGCATGGAAAAAGTCTGCTGAGAATATACTATATATTACAGTCCACATGACAAAATGGTTGTTGACCAGTAGTTTCAAAGAGGCATCTGTTTGGCTAGTGTTGTTAATAGAATACTCCATTAGATTATTATTATTATTATTTTTATTGAATAAACAAGATTATTACAATTCGACGTTTTCGGTTTGGCTACGTGCAATTATGCTATATACATTATGTAAATAGTATCGAATAAAGTTTATATAATTTAAAATTTAAATATTCAGTATTTATACGTTATTACATTGTCAGTTATAGTAGATCTTATTACTTTAGAATACTCCATTAGATTAATCCTTGGTATGTATTAGTTCCTTCATCTTCATTCATTGCTGATTCTGTGCTTGCAATGTAACTTGTAGATATCATAATTCCAGGAATAAATCTTGTAGCTCCAATTTAAAATTAGAAAGGAAAAATGCAAATATTAATCTTTCTCATGTGCCCCACCAAAGGTTTTTCTTATCAAATAATTTACCACTGAAATCTGTCATTGGCTAAAAATATATTTCATACTTTGAAATTTCTTACCGTTAAGAGATAACCCATACAAGCATTTTAAATTTCTGCAACTTAAAATTGTATTTTTGCACAAACACAGTGGTATTTTGATAAAAGTACCATAGTAATTAATGGTAGTATTAGTTCTCAAACTAAACCTTTTTTGAATCTCAAAGAAGGGAGAGAGGCGCTGATATCCCCTACCTACAATCTTTGTTACTTCTTCATAAATATGTTTGTAGAGTGGGATACAGATTTGGCTAAAATTGCTAGAATTTTAAGTGAAGTGTTTATAAAGCCGATCTAAACTCTAAAGAGATGCCTAACACTACTGTCCCATACTACTTATCAATCTATTAAATAGTGTGAATAATCACTAGTGACCCTCCCACTTATGCACATAGTATATAGAACGTTGCTGTGAGTCTGTAATCCTATTCAGTCTTATTAGAATGACTTTGATTCCCGAGCAAAGAGCTATAGGTTTAGGTTTATCATTTTAGATAAATAACTCGAGAAACAAGATGCTGGCTCAACAGTTTGCCTTAATTGTGCCGAGTTACAGCACCCATCATCCCAGATGTTTGTTGGGGGGGGGGAAATTCCCGATTTCACAACCTTTTTTTCTCTCCCCTCTCCATCTCCTGCCCCAGAGCTTCAGTCTAAGCAGGCTACAATGTTTGAAACGAACTTTTATGACGTGTCCCTTTTCTGGAATTACATTTGGGCAGCGGGGAGGGGGCTAAGGGGAGAGATCCCATTCTAGTCTGTTTAGTAATAATGGGAGGAGGAGGAGGAGGAGGAGGAGGAAAGAGAGAAAAGAGAGAAATTACGCAAGTCCCGGGGTATTTGGCTTTAACATTCCTGCGACAGAGCGTTTTAAAAGAAAAGCGCTGGGAAGGACGAGGAAGTGCCGAAACCATTTACTAGCCTGTCCCTGGCTAGTCCGGGGACTCACGTGCCAGGGCCGATAGCGGGGGTGAGTGGTAGTGGGGGAGGGAAGAGTCCCGCGCTGGGGTTTGGCGTCCTCGAGGCCCCCTATTGACTAACGGCTTCCCGCCCTCTTCTCCCTCCCCTCAGGATCTGGCATTCGGCTGGCTGCTGGCAGCCCTCACGCGCCCTCGCTCGCCCTATAGTCTCCGTCGCCTGGTCTCCTTTCCCTCCCCCCCCCACCTCCGCTTTTCTCCGGCAGTCCGCACTGGCGCTAAGGCGGCAGCTCCGGCCCTCAGAAAAGCGCGGGCATCGCCGCTGAGGGAGGGAGGGAGACTCGCGCTCATCTCTACTCTTCCACCCTGCCCAGGAATTATTAGGAGGCGAACCTTCCCCGTTCCCTTTCCACACAGCAACGTTTCCCCACACTTTCCTCTGCAAAGGAGGCAGGCAGCCTCTCGTGAGGACTGGGGGGAACATCCTTTCACACAGCCCCCAATCGGCTTCGCCCCAGCCTGGGACCACGAGGGTGAAAGTCGCGCGTGTCAGTGTGTTTGTGTACGAAACGTAGAATAAACGCCGAGTCACATCTCCCAGCTCCTCCCCGCCCCCCCCCCCCCCCCCGGGTTTTGTTTTAAAAAAAAAAAAATAAATCGCTCCGAATGGAGAACTTCTCCTCAGTCGCCTGGAAAGGTGGAAGTCCCGAGTCGGTCTGCCTTTAACGTGCAAGAGGCTCCCTTCGCCTGGAGCTGCTGCTGCTCCCGGCGTCGATGACGGAGGGGTAGGGCGGGGCGGGGGCGCCCGTGCTTGGCCGAAGAAGAGACGGGCACCTGGAGGTTTGTTGTGGAAAACTTGGTTACCTGGTCAGTGGATGCTGCCGTCGCCGCCGCCGCCGCGGCGGAAGGAACTTTGCTTGCGGGCAATTAAAAAAAAAAAAAAAGCCGGGTCCCCCTTGGCGCGCCACAGCTGGGACGCCCGTCAGAAAGAGCCCCGTCGCAGAAGATTTGGGATTTGGACGCCCCGTTGCCTCGAGGGGGGCCTTCGCCAAACTCCAGGGAAAAACGTGGGCGCCTCCGTCAGCTGCCCGCTCCGGATCTGGAGCGAGGCATCCGAAGAGGGCCATGGCTTAAGGCAACGTACGTATCTTTGGGACAGGGGGTCGGCGGGAATTAGCCATCTCCCTCCCGCGCCCCCCCCCCGGTTGCGTTTTGGGGCCACGGGGCAACCCTGGCATGATTTTTTTTAGGGGAAGAGGAGGGGGGACGTTTTATTGACGGAATGCGATCGCCTTTTCAAACCCAATCATGGTTTGTCCCAACCATGTTTGACTTTGTTTGACTTAGTTTGGGTATTAAGTAAGATCAGCGGAACCTTCCTTCTTCTGGACACCGTGAAAGGTTCGCGTTTTTCAGACGCGTCTTTCTCCGCACTTTGAATGTGTCAGGCTGTGCGTTTGAAGGGGTATCTCTGACCCCGGGATTGCCGCCTCCTGGCTCTTTTTCCCTCTCAAGCAACTTTTCCCCTCTGCCCCCCCCCCCCCGTTGCGTCTCTCTTTTCCACTCATGTGCCCCCCACCACCACCCCACGTTGCATTGGCTGTGGAAGGAAGCGCTAGACGGGGTCTCTCGTTCCCTCCCTTTCCCTCTCAAGTCATCCAAAGCCCTGACGGGGAATGGGAGGAGAGAGAGAGAGACAGAAAAAAAAAACGGCATGTGAAAAAGTTGAAACAAATATTCCCTTCGGGAGATTTGTCATCTTGTTGATCATTAAACTGAGTTAGATCTAGCAGCGCTTGATTTCTCCCTCCTCTTTTGCTTTGCTTCTAACTGGAGCAGAGCGCTCGGTTTGCTATCTGCTCTTCTTGAAGGTTTTAAGACTGGCTGGGAGACTTTTCTATGAGTATACCTCTGCACCTCTGTCCAATTTTCTGTATGTTGAGGACTGGATTATAAATGATCAGGAGGGGATAATAGGTGTATCACTGTGATCTCCCTATTCTGTAATAAGAAGGGAAAGAAATTCAGGGTTGGAAAACGAGGTAATACAAGATGTGTTACACTGCCTTGCCCAACTTGGTCCCCTCCTCTGTATATTCTAATTTGGATATTATAGCTGACTGTAATTTGACTTCCTCACACTGGTGGCTGGTGTTGGCTTTGTGACTACAGTAAGACAAGACGTTGCTGTTATTTTATATTCCTGGCGGTTCTTTTTCAAATATGCAGGTGAGACCACAGACACAGGTGTCTTAATCTTGCTCTAAATTCTAAACAATTTCCTTCAATTCAGCTGCAGATTTCAAAATCCTGGAATGTGAAGTGATCCTAAATAAGAGTGTCTTTGAACATGTCTAGAGTGTTGTTCTCTTCTAACCACTGTCATCTTTTCCTTTCTAAAGCTTCCCCTTTGTGTATTGTTTCCTGGAAAACCTCAGAATCATGACTTAGCTAAAATTGGAGGAAATAAGATGAAACTGCGAGGTAGTCAACAGGTTTAAGCATTGGTGCTGCAATGTGTCCATATTATATTCAAATTTTACCTAAAATTAATTACCATTAAAAGAATTGTAATGTTTTTTTATGTACTGCAAGAGTTTACATAAATCTTCAGCAAATTTGTTTTTTATCCCTAACATTGCAGAGAAGTCAGATATATAGTGACCAGGAGGTCATTGTTGATCCTTTTCATTTATATCTTATAAATAAGTAAATCACATTTTATGAAAGCTGATATTCACTCTGTCTTCAAAAGCCATCTCTGACTTCTCACACTTCATAGCTAAAATCTGATTTGAATACAGGATAATACTGAAGAAAGGACATGAAGTAAAAGAGTTAAACATATTTTTGAGTGGTGTTTTTTTCTAAAGCAGTCATGTGTGACTGCTGACTAGTTTTAGCTTTTTAAAGGCAGATTTAATCACAGCTCTCATGGCATGTCTAGTTTGGCTTTCTGATAGGTAAATACGTGTAAGAAAAGTAAAGTTTGTATAGGGCCGTGATGGTGGCAAGCAGCGCCCTCTCTGTGGACACATAAGCCGTCGCCCCAGTTCAACTCCGCTGCGTATGCGTGCATGCCTCCCGCTGGCCAGCTGGTCTTTGGGTCTCTTGTGCGCATGTGTGGGACAGAGCGTGTGGGTGTGGGTGTGGGCCCTGCATGCGCATGCGTGGGGATTTGCGTGCATGTGTGGGGGCCATGTGCACAGGCACCATGCATGCATTGCATTTGGGGGGTTTGGCCACACGTGTACATTTGCGTGTGTATGTGCGAGTTTTGGACAACCTTTGGAAAAGGTTAGCCATCACTGGTAATATATATATATATATATATATATATATATATATATCTTACATAAAAGAAATGCTGGAAAGAAGTGTGTCAACAACTGATTTAATTTAGATATTATCTGAAAAACTTTTAGGAAGTGGTAAAAACTGAATGGCTTGTGGCCTGGATTTTAAGCTGTATTAGATCAGACAATTTACTTGCTCTTGTTTGTTACCCTGATTAGCAGTAGCTTGTGGGCTCCTCAGCCAAAGAGGTGTTCATACTACTTGTGCTTAACTAGTGATGGTAGAAATTATGTGAGAACTTCTCCGTTCAACATATATGCCTTTATACCAAGGTATTTGTTTATGAAGCCCTATAAGTCTTTCTGTGCAAGGACATATAGTTATTTCACCAGTTTCCGCTATTGTGAGAATTAGAAAAACGATACTTCCCTTCTCTCTCTCTCTCCACCAGGAGTGGCACATAAATGTCCACCTCCAGTTTAGTTTAAACTCCTGGAGATTACAATGACACAGTCATGTGTTTTTTGGCATCAGTGCAAAAGCTTGACATTGCCTTCTTCCAAGATGTTTTCCTGATGATCTCCCATTGAGTAATAATCAGTCTTGTTTAGCTTTTTCAGTAGCAGCCAAGGTTGACTAGATACCAACTTCTGTTAAAATGTTAATTGTAATTGTATAGATAGTTAAAAGTAATAACTAGCAAAGGCAGACAAATGCATTCAGTTCATATTGGTTTAGTTTCTTATTTTGTCAGATTTTACACTTATTTTATTCTGGATTAGAATACGTTCTGCATCACATTTCTTGGGGGAAAATTGAGAATCAATGAGATATAGTAGTTAAGAGACTGGGTTATGGAGGATGGAGCCTCCAGCCTCAATTCCGTCCTCATTATGAAAACTCATTGGATGTCTATGGACCAGTCAATCTCTCTGGCTCAATCTACCTCTCACAGGGTTTGTTTGGAGAAGAGGTGAGTGCTCTAAACCATATGAGTTGAAGAAATTAAAGGGTGTTAAGTCAATTAATTAAAAGTCTGTACAAAAGTTGCATGTTTAACTTAAGCTATAAACTTATATACATAATTTTTCCTCAATGTCCATTTATTTTACAGGCAGTTTTCTCTGTAGAACTTGTGCCTGTATTTTGTAAAATGTTTTTTGGGATTTTTTAAAACTGGAAAATTATACTATTATATTTATGAAGATATTAGTAGTAATGGACAGTTTTCTGTATGTTTGAATTATGTATGTTCATCCTGAAATGAGAATTAAATGAGTGAAGTATGGAAAAGGAAGAGAGTCATTTATCTTCACATTTTTTTGAAAAATGCACAGAAATAAGTTATATTTCCTACCAATATATAAATTTCATACAAAATATACTATTTTCCTTCAAATACCGTACATATGCTGGAAGAAAATTTGTAAACATTTTGATGCAGACTTTTAAAAATATCACAATGATAATAAAACAAAAGAATAGGAAAAAAACAGGGCTAGAAACTGAATTCTGGAAGAAATTGAGTGCTGCTTTTAGACAAGGGGTGTCCAATCTTGGCAAGGGTTAAGACTTGTAGACTTCAACTCCCAGAATTGCTCAGCCAGGTCTTAAAGTTGCCAAGGTTTGGACACCCATGTTTTAGGTCAGGAGTGTCAAACTCATTTTCATTGAGGACCGCATCAGGGCTATGGTTGACCTCTCGGGGCTGAGCAGGCGTGGCCAACTGGGGTGTGACCAGTTGGGTGGGCGTGGCCAGCTTGACACCACTCCCCAAACTGATGGCATGTTTCCTCTTTGCATTGGGTAGACCGGGCGGAAATCACGCTGGCCTGATCTTTCCTTTTCACATTGGGTGACCGGGCCAAAGCTACACTGACCTGATCTTTCCTCTTCGCATTGGGTAGACCAGGATGGCCCTGTGGGCTGGATCCGACCATATTGCGGGCTGCATCCGGCCCATGTGTCTTGACTTTGACACCCCTGCTTTAGATACTTAACGTTTTTGGATGGGCAAGAGTGTGGAAAAAGGTAAGGTAGTCCTCGTCTTACAGCCATTCATTTAGTGACCGTTCAAAGTTACAATAGCACTGAAAAAAGTGACATGACCATTTTTTACAGTTACAACCTTTGTAGCATTCCTCGGATTATGTGATCAAAATTCAGATGCTTGGCAACTTGTGCATACTTATGACCATTGCTGTGTCCCAATGTCATGTAAGTCATCTTTTGCAAACCTTTGACAAGCAAAGTCAATGAGGAAGCTAGATTCACTTAACAACCAGGTTATTAACTTATCAACTGCAGTGATTCACTTAACAATTCTGGCAAGAAAGGTCATAAAAGGGGGCAAAACTCACTTAATAAACATCTCACTTAACAACATAAAGTTTAGGCTCAGTTGTGGTCATAAGTTGAGGACTACCTGTATATGTACTTTAACTAAAGGATTTCTGCTCTGTTGATCTTAGAAGCTACAGCCATTGGTGGATAGAAATTGTCCATGGTAGTTTTGCTGGTAACTTTATTATATCAAGGAATCTTGTTTATATTTTCACTAATATTTTAATTGTTCAGCATAATTCCTAATGTCCAATTCCTATTGCATTGTTAGTAATTCTAATTACTAATTGATTAACAACAATAGAAAGACTTAAGCAGATGAAATGACACTATTCACACTAATAAACCAAAATGTGTTGTCATTTTGTTATAGAGGAATAAGAACATGGAAGTACTGTACTGTAGTGGTTTCTTTTACCTTAGGACTCTACAAACCTGTATAGGAATGCTAAATTCTCTGACTTCATACCCAAAGCTCAAGGGGTATTGAACCAACCAAGTTGTTTTGATGCTTCCTCTGTATCCAAAGGTTAGCTTCAAAAATTAGCTTTTGATCCATTTCTTTAGATAATTCTTCTTTACTGCTTAAATCTTAAATCTACTTTTGGATTTTGGAAATAGAAGACAATTTTTCCTGAGAGTTTTGGTTGCCATCTTATGCTGTTTTATTTATCTATTTAGTGCATTTCTACTCTTTCCTCCCCAATCCTATAATGTTTTCAGAAATACATTTTCACAATTTAAAGTAAACAAGTATGAAATAACAGAATGAACATTAAGCTGAGCTATAGTTTAATAAATCCATCTTGTTTAAAACTTGGTTAAGATTAAAGTTTTTTTTCTGTCTCTACTGTAGATAGTGAAATTTGGAAGATTACTGTATTTATGTGCAAGAAAATATCTCTGGAACTGAGATAAGCTCTCTTGTGGAAAGGTAGGAGGAAGAAGAAAATTATATTCACTGACTTAATAATAACTTATTAATAACAAATTTACTGCTGTAAAATAACTAATCTGTCTATGACCCAGTTGATCTCCTATCCAACAATATACCAACTACGTTTGCACACACAAACCATTCTCACTCATAGAAACTTAAACAAAAGCCTGAAACCCCCCCCCCCTTTCCAGCAGACATAGGAGATAGGAAGAAAAATTAGGGAAGAGATAGCTTCACTGAGAAGGGAAAAGAAAGGTACAAAACTGATGTAGATGAGGTAAATGGAAAAAATGAAGTGAAGGAAAATGAATCTCTAATTAGGCATCTTTAAAAAATTAAATTCAGCAGGTGAGAAACTTCTTTAGAGCAGTGACTAATCTTCAGATTGATCTTCAAAGGAATACATTTAGCAAAGCTGTCTGCAGTCTTTTATACCTTTGCCCATTTATTGGTTTTCAAAATCTTTTAATGAATGATTTTCCTTCAACCCCAAAACATATATTTTGAGGGAAAAACCTATATGCATTTCAAGTGAATATGCTGATATCATTTATTATTCTCCTCTTCGTTGCAAGTTTTCATAGAAATCGAGCAGAGTGTAATTCTTATAATTCTGGTTTGGCTCTACCTTTTCCTGTTTTATGCAAATTAAATTGCATATGTCCAATGTATTCAGTATTCAGTGAAGGAGATTTTTGGTAATAGGTTTCACTACCAAATTGTTCTTGCTGTTATGACAATTTTGTTAAACTTTAACTTAAATCTGATTTCCTGTAGCTAAGATTATAGTGTTGGGTCCTGCACTCTATGTCAATAGGGTCTTTACTGTAGTTTCTGAATAATAGTTTTTTGGGTGCAGGAAATATCCTATAATATCTCCCCTTAATAATTTTTTCTTGAGACGAAATAAGTTTATTTCACTCAGTCTGTCTTCATAATCCTTATTTCCAGTCCTTAATTGCCCTTTTCCACATCTTTACAGTCTCAGAATTTCCTTGCGATGTCGATAGAATGGACAAACTGCCTTGTTACACTGCTGTCACATTTGAACCTGTGATAAACTTCACTTCCAAAATCCTTTTCATGGAGCTCCTCAATCAATCAATGAGAACAGACGTGGAAGGGACTTTGGAGGTCTTCTAGTCCAATCCCTTACTCAAGCAAGAGACCATATACCATTACAGACAGGTGGCTGTCCAGTCTTTTCTTAAAAACCTCCAGTGATGAAACACCTACAACTTCTGAAGGCAAGCTGTTTCACTGGTTAATTGTGCTCGCTGTTAGGAAGTTCCTCCTTAGTTCTAGGTTGCTTCTCTCCTTGATTCGTTCCCATCCATTGTTTCTTGCCTTGTCTTCAGATGCTTTGCAGAATAGCTTGATTCCTTCTTCTTTGTGGCAGCCCCTCAAATACTGGAATACTGCTATCATATCACTATCGTATACATTTGCATGTAAGTACTAAATGAATAACTTTTTAATGGTCTGCAGCATGTCTCTTGTTCCTTTTTAATTCCACATTTCTCACTTAGCAAGGACTGTTTTAATTGTTTCTCAATTTCAGAGGCTTAGCTATTTTAGTTACTTATATGATAGTTGTAACTCGCCCCTCCCCCCATATCTTGCTCCATTTATAAAAATGTGAAAGTACAAATATTGAAGTGTGATGCCCTATTTGATACATTGCTCTATTTGCTCCAGTTTGAGGAATTATTGATGAGCAGAGTCTGAATTCTGTTTCTAAGCTAGTATGGATCCATCTAACAGCCATCCAGCCATCCAGCTTCATACTAAACTAACTTACAAACAGACTGTGTTACAGAACTTTGTCAAGTATTTTGCTGCATTTGCCTCAATATATGGCACAAAAGCCTATGTTATCAAATGTCATATGAAACAGGAACTCTTTGTTTTAGTATAAGGCCTACCTTTCTATCACTTGGAAATTTGTATTAGCCTTGCTAACATATAAGGCCTTTTGAACTGAGTTTTCTGAGTGACCCAAACCCATGACATAATCTAAATCTTTGCCTGAGTCATTATAGTGTGTCAGAAGGGAAAGTATCTAAATTGAATTTAGCTGTGAGTAAAAGTGGTAAGGCTGTGGAATTTTTACATACTCATCAATGCAGACATTTCATGATGAATTATCTTAAAATGTGTAATGCTATGGTGCTATTCAACAGGAGAAAGAATAACATTTGGAAAAATACTTTTTTTGCTTTTGTGGTTTGGCCTTAGTGTTTAACATAATAATGTGTTGAATACTCAAATGCATCTCTCATGAAATGTGTAAAAATTGCTTTGTAGTAATACGTTGATGTAGTTTGTGATGATCTACAAATGTGAATAAAGAATTATTACAGTAAAGAACATTTTTGGGATATAAATTTTGCTCTCTATAGATATGCATGAACATACAAGGAATCTTTGTTTTTGCAAAATTTTAAGACTCAACCGATTCAGCAATCTGGGACAGACTTGAATTGTGATTCTGCTCTTGATATATGTCAGCTTCAATGACATAATTGATTTTGTTTTTTTCCCTAAAGTGGGGGGTTGGTAGTTCTTTGTTATTGATTCATTTATTTATTTTTAATAATTTTTAATATGCCTAGAATTGTAGCTATTTTGAACAGCCTGTATGCTTGACTAAACTAATTCGACTTTATTGAAATCTACCTTAATAGATTCTTGCAAGTTTGAAAGTAGAGTTTTCTTGATGTTACCATTACAGTCCTATACCTTAGGTAGGGCCATTCCTGAGCCTCTTGCTCTCCCCACTATGTAACTGCATAATGCACCTGCACTATGCTATCTCTTATCTGACTGTTTCCTAGGCAGCATCTCTTTGCCCCCTTCTCCAAAGGTCTTTCATACATACCATTACAGGTTTCTCTTGAATTGGTAAATATCAATGTCCATGAAACAATGAGCAGGAAACTACTAAACAAAAGTGGTGTGCACTGAACTACTTTCTGAAAAGAACATTGCTACCCATCTATTGCATGCAAAGAACCATGTGAGTAAGCCAGAAGGCTATCAGAAGAAAGTTCCATGGGGCAGATGAGACTAAAATAGAACTTTTTGCGTTGATTGCAAAAGGCAAACACTGTATCCCAGCATAAGAACTTTATCTATGAAACTTAGTGGTGGCTGTATCATGGTTTGGGACTGCTTTGCTGTGTCTGGACCAAGATAGCTTGCCATTATTGGTGGAACTATGAAATCTGAATTGTACCAGCAAATTCTATAGGAAATTATTAGGATATCTGTCCATTAATGGAAGATAAAGAGAAAATGGGTCATGCAGCAGAACAACGGCCCAAAACACACAAGTTGTATGACTAAAGAATGGTTAAAGTAGAAGAAAGTTAATGTTTTGGAATGGCCAAGTCAAAGTACTAAGCTTAGCCTTAGAGAAAGGCTGTAGAAGAACCTGAAGAAGGCAGTTCATGTGAGGATGTCCAGCAACATCTCTAAGCTGAAGTTCTTCTGCAGGGATAAAATTCTTCCAAGCTGATGTGCAGGAAGGATCAGTCACAGTTGTTGCCCAAGGCAGGCACATCAGTTACTGAAAGCAAAAGTTCACGTTTTTGTCACACACCAATATATATAGAGTTTGAATTATTTTCTTCAATAAATTGAGGAACAATTTTTTGACTCATTTGTTTAATTGGGTTCTCTTTATTAAATTTTAGGAGTTGTGTGGAAAAAAGATTGTCAAAGTTTGCAACAGCAATTAAATCGAGAAAACACACACAGGTAACTGATTCAGCAGGATTCATTAACTTCTCTTTATATCCATAATAACACATGAAATAAATATACAATACCAAAGGCAGATTTTTCAGTGTGGTAGTAGTTACAGGCAAAACACAGGCAGAGGACAGCAGAGAAGAGTTTCAGTTTCAATTTAGCAGACAGACTAGTTTTTTTCACAGACTCAGAGCTCAGCAAAGCATGCTTAAGTTTCTATTTCCAAATAGTCCTCATTGGCTGACTTAGTTGCTATGCCTATTCATTGGTTGACTTTGTTACCATGTCTCTGCCAGTCATGAATTCTCTGACACTCCTCCCTTCGGGACTGGAATAGACATAAATCCAATTAACTGAATAAAGATCATGTTTTAAGTCATATTTATGCAGAAATGTTGAAAACTCAAAAGGGTTTGCAAACTTTTTGTAATTCCATTGTAAGCAGAATTATTGGATTCAGTTCTAAATGTTGTGATAGCAAATAATTGATTGGAAAGAATGTTATATAATGTTGGAAAGAATCTCTCAGAATATTTTGCTATACTAACTTAATAATATAATGTTCAATAATAATATATTATTGATATATATAATAATATAACATATATAATAATAATAATGTTCAAATATTTTGAATGAGGTGTCAGCAGTCTTAAATCATGTATGATTTTAAATAGTTTTCAGCCCCCCTGCCCTTGGTCTGCTTTTAATCAACAAATAGATGTATTTCAGAAAAAGAGCAGGCATGAATGTTGCACTTTCACATTGCAGTTCAACCTTGATGCCAATACCTGAAGTTACTTTTATGGCATCATTATTGAAATTGGTTTTGCTAGTGGGCAACTGAATTTGAGTAAGCTAAGACTAATCTACTATCTTCTAACTGAGGCTTAGTAATTTAAAAAATTGCTATCCATACTGACTAGAATCATAGAGGTTAAAAGGGATCTTTGATGTCTTCTAGTCCAACCCCCTGCCCAAGGTAGGAGTCCAACCAAATGGATGTCCATTTTTTTCTTGAAAACCTCCAACAATGGAGCACCTAGAACTCTGAAAGTTTCCACTGCTTAATAGTTTCAGGAAATTCATCCTTACAGGTAGTCTTAGATTTACAAACATTTGTTTAATGACTGTTCAAAGTTACAATGACCCTGGATTTATGACCAGTTTTCACATTGCAGTTTCCCCAAAGTTATGTGATCAAGCTTTGGGTACTTGGCAATCAGCATGTATTTATGATGCAGCATCATAGGGTCCTGGGATTGTCATTTGCTACTTAGGGAGCTTCTGATAGTCAATTGGGGAAGCCAGATTCACTTAATAACTAACTACATGATTCATTTAATAACCAGTGATTCACTTTACCATGGCAAAATAAAACAGTACATGACTCATTTAACAATTGTCTTGCTTAGCAGTGGAATTTTGGGCTCAATTGTAACTGTAGGTTAAGGTCTAACTGTATTTCCAGGTTAGCCTCCCCTTTGATGAGCTTCTTCTCATTGCTTCTAGTTCTACCTTCAGGTGCTATGGAGAATAAATCAACACCCTCTTCCATATAGCAGCCCTTCAAGAATTGAAAGATAACTATCAAGTCTCACCTTGAGTCGTCTTTTCATTAAGTTAAACATCCTAGTTCCTTTAGCTGTTCTTAGGATTTATCCTCCAGACCCCTTATCTTCTTTAGTGCTTTTCTATGCACTTGTTCTAGGGGCCAAGATGCTGTATTGGTGCCCTGGCTACTTGAAATAAAGTAAATGAACTATAAAACAAATAATTACTTTCAATTATCGAAATCAACAGATGGACATAAACTCTAAACAGTACAAACCTTTGAGTGTAGTTAAATATTTAAAAGAGTTACAAGGTGTTACTAAAATAAATACGAATATATTTTCATCATAAAATGGCCTATAGGTTTAAATGTTTTTCAGATGCAATTAAATGAGTCATCAATAAGTATGCTGTTATAGAACTGAATCTGTTCAATAAAAATGATGTTTTTATTGATGATTATTTTGAACAGAAATCTGTTCAATTATAAATGTTCATAGAATTCTTTTCTGAACTTGGGAAGTTTGCAACTCATGAGTGCATTTGGAAAAGGAGCAGCTGGCTCCCTCCATATTGATTTTTATTTTATTTTATTTTATATTGGATTTCTATACCGCCCTTCTCCCTGAGGACTCAGGCCGGTGTACAGCCAGATTAAAAAACATGCAGAACAAATATTAAAAACAATTAAAAGATATATAAATTTGGCCCAATTAAAACTCATTTACCAATTAAAAACGTTTAAAACATTTAAAAACAGTTAAAAATTTCATCTTAAGCCAGCCCGGCTTGTTTAAATAAATGGGTTTTAAGGGCGCGACGGAAGGCACTGAGGTCTTGGATTTGATAAAAACAAACATAGGAATGAATGGGCTTGGGGAGGACAATTCTAAAATTATAGCTGAGTGGTCCACTGAAGTGGACCAAGGCGGAAGAAATGAATGCATTTTTCACATTGATAATCAGGCTAATATTAGGTAAGATGGGCATCATACAAGTCAAGCAAGCAGTAAGAAACTGAAAAATCTCAAAATTAGGCTATACCACGAAGACTGGCATTTACATTTTAGTTTAATTATAAAGAGAATCTATAAAGTGAATAAATTAACAACTTTAGATACTTCAAGAGAGATGGTTTGCTGTAGTGATTAAGATACCAGGCTAGAAATCAGGAAACTCTGAATCCTAGTTCCACATTTGGCATAAAGCTAGCTGGGTGACCCTAGACTAGTTATTCTCTATCAGTTCTAGGAAGGAGGCAGTGGCAAGCCACTTTTGTAATCTTGTCAAGAAAACTGCAGGGACATGTCCTATTTATATAAACCTGGGGAGGATATACCAGGTTTCCCTGAAAATAAGACCCTGTCTTATATTTTTTTGAACCCCAAAATAATTGATTGCCCTTAGTTTTGGAGAGGTCTTATTATTTGGGGGTGCATGGAGCAAGACGGGTCTCCTCTTACCTGATTTCCAGTTCTGTCTCCCTAACCCCAACCAGAGGAAATGGTGAGGATCGGCTGCGCATGCGTTTAAATATTTGGGGGAGGGCTTATTTTCAGGGGGGGCTTATATTCGGGGGGGCTTATTTTAGCGCATGCACTCAAAAGCATTCAACACCATCATTCCAGACATTCTTCTAACTAAACTAAACCAGCTAGCGGTACCTGAACACACTTGTAAGTGGATCATAAACTTCCTAACAGGAAGCAGCAGGTGAAACTAAGCAGAATCACATCAGGGGCTCCACAAGGCTGTGTGCTCTCTCCACTTCTCTCTATATATCAATGACTGCATCTCAAAGGATCCATCTGTTAAACTATTGAAGTTCGCAGATGACACAACAGTGATCAGTCTCATTCGAGACTGTCCAAGGAGCTGCTGATATAGTTCTACAGAGGAATTATTGAGTCTGTCATCTACACCTCTATAACTGTCTGGTTTGGTTCTGCAACCCAACACAGACTTCAGAGGATAATTAGAACTGCAGAAAAAACAATTGCTACCAACCTGCCTTCCATTGAGGATCTGTATACTGCACGAGTCAAAAAGAAGACTGAAAATATTTACAGACCCCTCGCATCTTGGACATAAACTGTTTCAACTCCTAGCCTCAAAATGACGCTATAGAGCACTGCACACCAGAACAACTAGACACAAGAACAATTTTTTCCCGAATGCCATCACTCTGCTAAACAAATAATCCCCTCAACACTGTCAAACTAGTTACTAAGTCTGCATTACTATTAATCTTCTCATTGTTCCTATCACCCATCTCCTCCCACTTTTGACTGTAACCTTGTTGCTGGTATCCTTACGATTTATATTGACCGTTTCCTAATATGATTTGATTGCTTATTTGTTCCCTATGACTATCATTAAGTGTTGTACCTTATGATTCTTGATGAATATATCTTTTCTTTTATGTACACTGAGAGTGTATGCATCAAGACAAATTTCTTGTGTGTCCTATCACACTTGGCCAATAAAGCTATTCTATTCTATTCTATTCTATTCTATTCTATTCTATTCTATTCTATTCTATTCTATTCGCCCCATTCGGCTTATTATCCGGGGAGGTCTTATTTTCAGGGAAACACGGTAGTAGGTGGCTAAGCATTTCTTGGGTCTTTGTAATCAATGGAGAACAAATTTTAGAAATTGCTTGGATTTTAGTATGTGTGTGTGTTTGTATCTCTCTGTGTATCTGTGTAGATGTGTGTGTGTGTGTGTATAATATACATATATATATATGTGTATGTGTGTGTGTGTGTGTGTATACATACATACATACATACATACACATACTCGTTTTGTGCAATAAAATTTAAAATGAGTATTGTTTATATCTTTGGTCAATCAAATTGTTATTCTTTTATAGGAAACTGCACATCCGAGGTTTACTGATCTTCACAAATATTGGTAAGGATATATTGGATTTCAACCTATTCTATTGTCTTTTTTTAAAAATGTATAGCCATTTTTTTTTTGAGCTTTGGTTTTCCATTGTGGGTTCAGAACATTTTCTGCATGTGATCTATACTGAAGTGAACTTTTAAATGGGAAACCATTATGGGAATTATTGACTGCCCTGGAAGGCAGTTGCTGGGGCAAATGGGGCATTATCAGGAGATCCATAGTATAAGTGGGGTGACATTATGCGAACAAACAATTGCTAATAAGAATTGCTCTTCCTACTTTCTTGTTTTACTCTGTAAGCAGTGAATTCCTGTCATTCGCTTTCTTTCCTGTAACATTATTTTAAAGGAATAATTAAGAAAACAGTTTGAATAAGCAAGAGCGCATTAACATGCGCCAAATAAAATCTTCTGTTGTCCGCACTGCACATAAAAAATATGTCTACCATGTAATCAGACACATTATTTCTGAACAAAACTCAATGACCCTGCCAAATATAACAACTTGTTTTGCTATGTTTGTACTGTTCTAAGGTATTTTAAAACTACAGAAAATAATCATTTTGATTTGCTATTGATTTATAGTATTATAGAGCACATGGTTTTTCCAATAGAATAGCCACTCTTTGTTTTCATGTTCTTTTTTCAGTCACCTGTGTTAGGGCAAGGTACATTCTGCTTTATACTAAAATAAACCCTGGGAATCTAAGAACGCTTAGTGGCATCTGTCCCTGGCTGAAATGCAAACTGTGATTTATGCTGTGACCAGGCCTGAAAATAAACGATACTGTTTTTAATCAATAAATGTTCCTGCAACTTACAACTTGAACATTGTAAAAGAACAATTTAACATTTATTTCTTTTGGTTAAATAAATTGAACTAAGTAAGGCTTGTGACTTCTCAGTTTGCAGCTGTAGACTGACATTCCTGTTCTTTTTAATACAAGCAACATACGGCCAATAGGTCTTTAAAGCAGGTAGATGAAGCACATGTGAAAAGACAGGGGCAGCATGAAAATGTGCACAGGTGTGTTTGATTTGTATGCCTCTGTTTATGCTTATTATATAGGGGAGCCCATTTGGTAAATCTTTTCCTTAGTCTTTGAGTATAATTCAGTGATTATCATTCCTGTAATCACTTCAGTCAAGTAATTGCCAGTCAGCACTGGAAAAGGCTCAACGTTCCAACACTTCACAGCTAAATTATACTTATCCATATTGCTACTCATTTGTAGAGTAAGCAGTATTATACGAAGAACAGAAAACGAGTAAGTAATATCATGTAAAAAAATAAGACATTAGGTGATAAAAAGAAAATGAATGAAATATAGTTGAATAGAGGTCCACGCTAACATGGTATACTACGACTCTCTATTCTTTTTTCTCCATTCTTGTTTCTGAACAAGCCCATCACTCCAAATATTGCCTTTTGTTCGTTATAGTCCCAATTTCTCCCTTTTGGAGGATTATGCCATTCCATCCAATCATAATTTTTATTGGGTTTTTCCTTGCGTTTAATCCATTCACTCTTCCATCATATTTGTTTGCATTTGGATTCCTGCACACACTCTAAATGACTAAGTATTTTGATTTTGATTTCTTTTGTACTGTCTACTGTGACTATGTTTTATTAAATTTTCATTTTTGCCTTTAGTCTAGTTGAATGTTGTTGTGTTTATATTTTTATTTATTACATATTTGTTTGTTAAAGTTACTTTTGTTGTTTCTCTTATTGTTTTAATTGTTGTAAGAGTTGCACTTGTGATGTGGATGGTCATGCAAATATGATAAATAAATAAATAAAATAAGTAAATATTAGACTGAGCTAGAATAATCTATTCATGCAAATAAATTGAGCAGCAGTGCTCAAATTATAAATGTAAAGGCAGAAGGGAATTGTTAATGAAATCAACAAACCATATTCTGACTTCTCTCAGGCTTAACTAAATCACAATTTCCCACAATCATTGAATAGTAATTAGATGGACACAAAAGGGAAGGAAGGTTGGCTTCTTCTATATTTCTAAACAAGTGTCTGCAGCAGTGGCTACTGGTTTTAGACTTGCAGGCATAAGTGAGCCATTGAAGGCTTGTTTAGTTTTAGTTTAGTTTACTTTATTGTCATTGCACATGATACAATGAAATTAAATGCTGTCTTCAGTGTACATTATAACTATAAAAATAAAAACATAAACATACATCCTTTACATTCTATATAATTGAAACTGAAAACCCAATATTGCACTATACCATAGAATTCAATATGATTATTGCCCTGGGATGGAAGCTGTTTTTCAGCCTATTTGTCCTTGTTTTTATTATCTTGTACCGTCTGCCAGATGATAATAGTTCAAAAAAAGGGTGCCCAGGATGAGATGGAACTTTAAGAATGTTTTGAACTTTCTTAAGGCAGCAGGAGCTATAAAGCTCTTCCAAAGAGGGGAGAGGGCAACCAATGATCCTCTGGGCAATGATATTGACCCTCTGGAGTGCTGTCCTATCTGCCACTGTGCAATTTGCAAACCATACACAGATGCAATAAGTTAAAATACTCTCCATGGTGCAGCGGTAGAAGGCCACCAGCAGTTTTTCATTCAGTTGTTGTTTTCTGAGACGTCTCAGGTAGTATAATCTCTGCTGGGCCCTTTGACCAGTGCTGCAATGTGAGTGCCCTAGATCAGGCCCTCTTTCATGATAACACCCAAAAACGTAAAACTGGCCACTTGCTCTACTCAGTCTCCATTGATAAGCAAGGGCTGGATGTCTGATCTATTCCTTCTATAATCCACTATAAGCTCCTTGGTCTTATTTGTGTTAAGGACCAAAGTTATTATCTCTACACCACTAAAGCAACTGTTCCACCTCATCTCAATAGGCAGACTCATTCCCCCTGGAGATCAGTCCCACCACTGTTTTATCATCTGCAAATTTAGTAATAGTACTATTAGTGTGAGTGGAAATGCAGTCATGCACATAAAGAGTATAGAGTAAGGAACTCGACAGGCAACCCTGTGGTGTACCAGTGTTAAGAATAAGGGCTGAAGAGATATGATTACCTAATCTGACCCTCTGAGAGTGGCCAGACAGGAAATCCATAATCCAAAGGCAGATTGAATAAGAAAGCCCAAGATCCATAAATTTAGACATTAGTCTATGTGGAATTATTGTGTTAAATGCAGAGCTAAAATCTTACATTTTAAATTTTTACATGCATGCAATGTATGCATGTACTGTATGTTAACAAGAAGCAGGACTTGGATTGCCTGGTCTCACATCCACATTTTGGAACCAATAATTATCCCTGCAAATGCCCCCATCTGAGAAATTTGAGCAGCAGAATGAATCATTAAAGGCAATTCGAACAACTTAATCGGACATACAGATTCAGAAAACTCTGATTTTCAGGAAACATCTACAGAAAAAGATATAATTAAAAAAAATATTAGACTGTGCAGAAATGGATAGAGTAACACTAAAGATAAAATAAAAAGACACAGAATATTTTCAAATGTGGGACTTGTTTTATCATTTGTTGGATAATAGAGGTAGAAACTAGGAACCGAAAAAGCATTATTATATGAACAAATTGACCCAGACAGTATGCTGTTCATCAAGCACTTATTGTATGTAAAGAGAAAATATATAAATAAATTGAAAAATCAAGCAAACTCTGATTTTCTATTTTTCATTTTGTTTAGCATCTGCTTAATTCTTTTTCTAATACAGCTATACCTACAAATTTAGATACCCATCCATAGAGATAGTTAAGGAAAATAACCTTATTATACCAAGCATGATATTGCTGTATAGTCACAGCTGAGATTTCACGGCCTATGTTAATTATAGTTATTGCATTTCAGGGATGTACACACTGGAAAAATGATTGAGAAGTGCTTCAGGTATCATGTGAATGCCTTTGTGATGTTCATTAAAGCAATGTGACTTTAATAATTGATTGCTACTTGACCAGGCTTACAATTCCTTCTCGTGATAATTAAAATAAAAATAGATAATGCGGCAACAAAATAATCAGTGAAATACAACCTTCATAGCAAGTTATTATAAGTGGATTTCTTAAAACAGCATCATTTTGGCAGACTCTTACATAATTCCAAAAAAGTGAGGTTGCTTTCATGAATAGCAGAGAGGCGCTACATTTGTCCTGGGTTTGAAGCATTCCTTTTTGATGCATAAAGGTAAAAGGTAAAGGTTCCCCTCACACATATGTACTAGTCGTTCCCGACTCTAGGAGGTGGTGCTCATCTCCGTTTCAAAGCCGAAGAGCCAGCGCTGTCCAAAGACGTCTCCGTGGTCATGTGGCCGGCATGACTAAACGGCAAAGGCTCATGGAACACTGTTACCTTCCCACCAAAGGTGGTCCCTATTTTTCTACTTGCATTTTTTACGTGCTTTCAAACTGCTAGGTTGGCAGAAGCTGGGACAAGTATCAGGAGCTCATCTCATTACATGGCACTAGGGATTCGAACTGCTGAACTGCCAACCTTTTGATCGACAAGCTCAGTGTCTTAGCCACTGAGCCACTGTGTCCCTGTTTTGATGCATGCACAGCTTTAACGTGCATTAACTATTAAATAACAAATATCTTTTAAAAATGAATGAATGATACTTTATTGAAAGTATATTATTCTTTCCTTACCTTTCCCATGTGTTAGTACATTGCAGTATTTTATTCTAATTTCTATCTTACTGTATTTTTTAATCCTAAAAGCATAAATTGGCAAGGATGTCATATCCTGGGCTCAGTATAGCTTAATCATTGGACATGCTTTAGCATCTCCCTTTTTAAATTATCACAACGTGCAGGTTTTTTTTTTTAAAAAAGCTCTTCTTAAGCATAGCTTCCACTTACAGTTGGCTTTTTACTTCATTCATTTGTTTGGTGTTCATTCCACTTCATGGCTGGTTAACTAGTACATAGGTAGCTGACCTTACTGTTAACTTCTGCTTTTAAGGGGCATCATTTCTCTTCATTATAGTTCTCAGTAATCATTTGTCCTTATCCCCAGAGGGTTTTCTCTGTAATTGCCTTCTACTTTGATGTTCACACAATCAATAATTCTGCCTCCTACAGTTAACACAAAAGCACGGCTCTGAAGTTTTGCATTGTAATACATATAAGTTATTTTATTGTCTTCTCTTCCACTACAACAGGCATAATGCACTATGGAAAAGTTATTGACTGCTGACCGATGTCTTCAATATCCGGGGATTTTGACTGCATATCTTTAGGAGAAGAATCCTTTGGCAATGAATGTCAGGGCATGTTCTATGAGCCACCGAACAACATACACTCCTCACAGGCCTGGGATGGTAAATGCGCAGCAGAACCCATCTATTAAACTGCATATAGAAGCTCCTTCTGCTTCTTCTAATAGTAGCACCCCGGGTGCTGCTATTGGAAACCTATCGACCCCCTCACATTTAAAGACATCTCTTGGAGGAGGTGTGGCTCATCAGAGCAATGCCGTTGACTGTAATATTAACTTTCCTGCTTTAAGTCAGAAGAGACAAATGGTTACAAATGGAAAGTCTTTATTCCATGTCCCACAGCATCCAGGGGTAACAACTCCACAGTTTTTGAAGCCAAAGGAGCAAGAATTTGGAAATAAATTTACTGCAAGCACAGTAAAAGGTAGGCGTCATTTTAATAGCCATATTTCACTTTGTTTTCGTACACATTTAGTAGAATTATGATATAGAAAGCTGTATGCTTCTATGCTTTAAACATTACAAATATGTTTTTCCGAAAGCAATATAAATATAATGCATGAGGAGAATTCTCAACACCATGTATTCTATTTTCAGTAATATAAGTAAAGGTCAAAGTGATTCAAGTGGTGGTAGGAGCACTCAGGGCTGTGATTCCTAAACTGGGAGAGTGGCTCCAATAGATCCCAGGAACAACATCAGAGCTCTCTGTCCAGAAAAGTGCAGTGCTAGGAACAATTAAGAACCCTCAAACTCCCAGGCCTCTGGTAGAGGACCCAAGATTGAGGAAGACACCAGACCATCCATAAGGGTGAGAAGAGAATTTATAGTTATTAGAATTATTTGTGGCCAAGAGTTGCACTTTTTATTATTACTATTTAGTTACCTATAGTAACCACTTATGTAACTAGCAAATTCATAATTTCAACAGGTGATTTGAGTTAATATTTTGGATCCATTTAAGAGACATTTGAGAGATGTGCTGTCTCATTTGAAAGAATTTAGGAATTCTTTAAGCTCTTCCAGGGCAAAAATGATAATTATTGGGGGAAATCAAGCGTTTTTCTAGAGTAAAATAGATGCTTCAAGCTTTTGCAAAATGACTGAATGGTCAATGAAATTCAGGCCAAATGTCAGTTGGATTGGCTATCTTGGTCTTGATCTATCATCATATTAATATTAATTCACCTTCATTAGTTTTGTACAGGTTTTATTACTCACTTTGATGTATCCTTGGTTTAAAGTAATATTTTTTTATTCATAGTTCTCAGAATTAGAAGGAACCATCAGTGAGTTCAACTCCCTATTCAGTGCAGGTTCTTATGGGGCTACAGTAGTTTGTTAACTTTATCTTGCACAAGTGTCTTGGACAGAATAGAAAAGGAAATTATTTTCAGCCTTGATTACTAAGCAAGTAGCTTCCTTACTTTATTCTTTTTTGGATTTTTGTAAAAGGCTAATATACATGTGTAAAACTCACATGACAAAAGTGTTTGATCTATTCAGTGCTGGAATGGATCTAGAACAGCTTGGTGTGGCTAGCTCGGGGTGGCCAGCTTAGCACCATCACCAAGTCGCCCCTACCAACTCAATGCTGCCAAAACACCACAGGAGAACGCCATACAGCCAACACACTTTGGGGACAACTCTCGAGCAGCCAGAGGGAGAGCTGGGTGGGTGAGCAAGCAAGCGGGTTAGCAGACACGAGACTGGCAGCAGTGGCCACATCCCATTTTCATATCTGCTGCTACTGTCATCCTCAGATTCTTTAGCCCAGAGCTTCATACAGCAGCAGTGGCATCGGGGTGTGTGAAAATGGGATGCCCTCAGTTGCCACCTCTTCGCTGCTGCCTGCCCTGCCCACTGCCGATGCTGCCACCATCCCCAGCCTCTTTGGCCCAGGGCAGGGGTCTGCAACCTTAAAGAGCCATTTGGACCAGTTTCCCACAGAAAAGAAAAGAACCGGGAGTCACAAAACCTGGGTGGGCATGGCCAACTCGATGTCACTTACTCCACCCAGTCACATGACACCCCTCCCCAGCCACGCCTACCCAGGTTCTGTGGCTCCCAGTGTTTTCTTTTCTGTAGGAAACAGATATCTCTGTCTTGTCTGTCTGTCTCTCTCTTTCAAATATAAATATATATAAATATAAATAAATAAATAAAGTGTTTTCCTATCGAAGCACCTGGTCTACCCCAATATGGGAGGGAGCATACTGTTTCAGATAGTATTAAGAGACGCTTTCTACAGTGTAAACTGGACGAAACAAGCAGCTACATGACTACATTCTGAACTTCATGGGGTAGAAAGAGATGGCTTAAATTACCTTTGGAGTTTCGGTAGCACCAGAGGTATATCAACAGAAGCAGCATGAATTATTGAGTGGGCTCGATGGAATTTATTTATTTATTTATTTTTATTTATTTTTCATATTTGTATACCGCCCTACTCCCGAAGGACTCAGGGCGGTGAACAGCCATAAATAAATACAAAGACATATAAAAGTTAAAAACTATTAAAAAACAGATTAAATAATTTAGGCTTAAAGATTGAAACATGAAAATTTATCTAAAAGAGATCTAAAACCCGATTTAAAAGCCAATTTAAAAGCCAATTTAAAAGGGAGAGTTAGGCCAGACCAGCCTGTTGGAATAGAAACGTTTTCAGGGCACGGCGGAAGATGCGTAAGTCTTGGATCCTTCGTAACTCCGGGGGGAGCCCGTTCCAGATGGCAGGTGCCCCCACAGAGAAGGCTCTCCCCCTGGGGGCCGCCAGTCGACATTGTTTGGCCGACGGCACCCCGAGGAGCCCCTCTCTATGGGAGCGAACTGGTCGGTGAGAGGCTATTGGTGGCAGGAGGCGGTCTCGTAAGTACCCTGGTCCTGAGCCATGGAACGCTCTAAAGATAGTAACCAAAACCTTGAAGCGCACCCGGAAGACCACCGGGAGCCATTGTAGCTCGCGCAGGAGGGGGGTCACATGAGAGCGCCACATTGCTCCCGTCACCACCCGCGCGGCCACATTCTGGACCAGTTGGAGCCTCCGGGTGCTTCTCAAGGGGAGCCCCATGTAGAGAGCATTACAATAATCCAGGCGTGAGATGACAAGGGCGTGAGTGACCGTGCGTAACGAGTCCCGATCCAGAAAGGGACGCAACTGGCGAGTCAGGCGAACCTGATAAAAAGTCCTCCTGGCCACGGCCGTCATATGCTCTTCTAAAGACAGCCGCGAGTCTAGGAGGACGCCTAAATTGCGAACCCCATCTGTGGGGGCCAACGACTCGCCCCCAATAGTCAGAGATGGCGCCAACTGACTATATCGGGATGACGGAAACCACAGCCACTCGGTCTTGGATGGGTTGAGTCTGAGTTTGTTCCTCCCCATCCAGATCTGTACGGCCTCCAGGCACCAGGACATCACCTCGAGGGCATCATTGGGGTGGTCTGGGGTGGAGATGTACAGCTGGGTGTCATCAGCGTACTGATGGTACTTCACCCCAAAACCACGGATGATCTCACCCAGCGGCTTCACATAAATGTTGAATAGAAGGGACGAGAGAACCGATCCCTGCGGCACCCCACATATAAGGGGCCTCGGGGTCGACCTCTGTTCCCCTGTCAACACAGACTGCGACCGGTCAGAGAGAAAGGAGGAGAACCACTGTAAAACAGTGCCCCCCACCCCCAACCCTTCCAACCGGTGCAGCATGATATCATGATCGATGGTATCAAAAGCCGCTGAGAGGTCTAATAGGACCAGGACAGAGGAGCAACCCCTGTCCCGAGCCCTCCAGAGATCATCAACCAATGCAACCAATGCTGTCTCTGTGCTGTACCCGGGCCTGAAGCCCGACTGGAACTGATCTAGATAGTTCGATTCATCCAGGTACTGAGGCAGTTGTCGTGCAACCACACACTCAACAACCTTCGCAACAAAGCGAATTGAGCCAATAGCTGATGATATTCTTATAGTTGGCTCTGGCGAAACAGACGAAGAAGCTGAGCATGACCATGATGAGAAGTTAACAGCATTATTGGATTGGTGAAGGCTTAGTGTAAAGAAGTTGCAATTTAAAGTGCATGAAGTCTGCTTCCATGGGCATATTTTGTCCTCACGAGGTTTAAAAGCCGATCCAGAAAAGATCAGAGCCATTGGGAAATACATACTGGTTCCCTTTCGCCTTTCAGCTCCAATCCAGGAGCCCTCAAGCAGTCGCAAAAGAGTCAGTGGCGTCTGACTATATATAATCAGCAAATACAGGGGTGCTTCACTCCCACTCTGGAATATGGAGCAAGTCTCCATCCCCCGCTGTAACCCTTACCTTCTCAGGCCAGGTGAGGAGTGACTGGGAGGAGAGGGTGAGGGATGGGGCCAGCCAGTGGTGGTTCAGCCAATAGGGAGCCACAGCAGGGGGACGAAAGAGCCGCAGGTTGCTGATCCCTGGCACAGGGCTTGGTGGCAGTGGCAAGGGATGTGAAAATGGGAAGTCCCCAGCTGCTGCCGCTGTTCTATGCTCAACCCACCTATTTGCTCATCCGTGCACCTTGCTGTCCCTCTAGCTGCCTGTGACAAGTTTTCCCTGCAGTGACTTTGCAGCGTGGAGTTGTCCTGTGAGAACTTGGTGATGTTGAGTTGGCAGAAGCAACTTGGCAGTGCTGAGCAGGCGGTGGTGACCTGGCTGTGCCAAGATGGCAACACAGAGTTGTCCCATTCTGGTTAGAATTGTTAGTTTCTACACTTGCTTATATATAATAATACATTAAAATATCCCTTAGCCATATATTAGCTTCTCGTATCTGTGTTTTTGTGACCCATTTAGCTTCTGAGTATAAACATCTCAATAAGCCTACAACTTACTATTGCAATAGACTTCTAGTCAACAAAAATATATCATGAACAGTTCTAAATATATTTTAGTTTGCAGGTTCACTTAATATATTTCTATCAAAGTTTCATTTCTTATAGAAGCTGTAGGATTGGAGTGGTTGATAAAATGGGCATGAAATTAATTTTAAGTGAGAATGGCCTTTCTAATTCTGGTTCATTAATTCGCTTTCAGTTTTGAAGATGTTGAAAATACTAACAATTTTATATATCACATAGACATTTATCCCTGACTGATCACAATTATGTGTTCATGTTCTATTTAACTGATTCTTATGAACCTAATCAAAGAGTTGTGGGGGAAAAAAATGAAGTGACCCTCATGTAAGCCTTCTTGAGTTCTTAGAGGAAAAGGAGGATAGAAATCTAACAAATTGAATAACAAATGACTAAATTAAAATGGTTGAGAAGGATTGTTGTAAGATTAAAATACTGCCTGAATAATGTTGCAAATCAAAGATCATTATTCCTGGCCTCAGTATAGGGAAGTAGCAGAAGGTTGAGTAAAATGGATAATATATCCTGTTTCTAAAAGAATT